CGTACCATGATATTATGTAATGGCGTCGGTAATAGAGACATATCTACCATATAGACAGACATATTATGACACTTTAAGCCGCAATTGCCACCTTACTCCCTAACATCTGCCGACATCAGGAAACTTACTTCCTGTCGCGACTCACTTGCAAATTCTACGCGACATGCTTATTAAGACTTTCTAACTTTTATATAGGTATAAGATGCACAACGGGAATTTTTACCAACCATGAGACTAGAGAGGGATAACAATAAATTTGTAGCACGTGTTGAATAGCTGAAAAGTGAAATATATCAGTTTCATAAAAATTAAGAGATTTAAAATTAAAAGAGTAATAAATTTAAAATTGAAGAAATTTATTTTTACAAAGCTACAGTTAGTTTTTTAGATTATAAACAAATTGAAATTTGAAAAAAATTGTTGATAAATAATAAAGTATTAATTTTCAGTTAATTTGTAGACTATTTAAGTAAATTTTAAGATATATTTAGTGTGTAAAAGAACTAAAGTTCAATGATAATTCTCTCATAGAGCATTGAAAAACTTGAAACACTATAAGATTACAATGATTTATTAGGCTACCTCAAACATATAAAATACGTTTTTCTGAGAAATTATAAAAACGAAGAATAATAGAAACTAATAAAGCTAAAGCATATGTTGTTATGGAAAATACGTCAATTGTTACGCAGCTACTATTATTTTATCGTTCTCGCAATCGGAGCTTCGACACGAATACTGCATGAACACACGATAATTTCATAGAATCATACTGACAATAATTCCTCCCTTCAAACAAAGGCTGCTCGTCGACGTGAGAATGCATTACGTTGAAGCTATTAAAATTGCAGCACGATGCACGATGGGCACGTTTGTTACGATAACAAAACAGGCATTAAGATAAAAAAATAAGAAAAAAACAGAACCGAACTGGGCCTCGTAACGAAAGTAGGACAGTGAAACGGTACGCGCGATCCGGACCTACACATCTCACGTCGAATCTGGGGTCCAGCCCGCGAGTGTGTGACACATCTCAGAGTCATCTCACGTGCCGCTCGCATTGTAGTTCACTCGGGCAGTCAGCCAGCCAACCAGCCAGTCAGTCCGTGGCCGTCAAGACTCGAAGGGATCAAGAACCCACGAAACAAGAACAGAGACAACACTGACCTTCCTCATACACGTGTCCACATAAAATATTACGATGCGGTCACGTTCGCGACGACAATTCGCGAACTTGCGACAGTAAGCCTTGTCTCTCTATCCATCTTTCTCCCGCTTTTACAGTGCTTTTACAGTCGCGATTTTTATGGTCGCTTATTTTAAATCTGGATAGTATAATAGTGTTTTATACATAGACAAAATTTGTATTTTAATGAAGTATTTAAGAATTTGACTAGATACACATACAGATCTGAAAATAATCTTGTTAGACTATCAAAATTATTATGTAGGACACTCAAGGATAATGAGCAATATTGCAAAAGGTTTTGACATTCCAGTAACTAGCGTTGTACTTGAGCGTTCTACATAATTATTTTGATGGTGTAATGAAATTATTTTTAGATCTATACACTTAAATCTATAGTGTCAAATTTAACTTAACGTGAGTCGCCACTGCTCCTACTCAATCATATCGTTATTTTGTACTAAAACAATGGTTATATTTGATACTATACAGTGTCAATTTAACACTATATAGTGTCAAATTTAACTATCGTTTTGATAAAAAATAACGATATATTTAGTAGGAGCAGTGGCGACTCACGTTAGGTTAAATTTCACACTATAGATTTAACAGTGTATTTAGCACAATTTTTAGATTTTAATAAAATTGTTCTTTTCGTGTAGCATATGCTGAGAAAAAATGTACTAAATTTTTAATAATTTTTAATATTTTGATAAATATTTATTTTAATAGTATTGAGTTCACGTTTACCTCCAGTAAATAAATATTTATTAAATAAGAAAATGATATTTAAATGAAATATAAAGAAAATGATTTAAATCGAATTAATGATTTTTGTACCAAAAATAAATACATATTTACATTCAGTAAATATTCAGCTAGTACTATTCAAACAAATATCTATTAAAGTATATTTTTTTAGTGAATGGTAGAATTCAACATATTAAAATATAATTATATTTTTTAAATTGTTGATCGATTCAAATATTTTTTCGAATTATTGTATGTAGCAGGAAATTTTCGGATTTTTGTTATTTTTTTTTTATCACGTTCTCTACTTTATGTTTTCTCGAGACTGATGAAAATTCCGCGTGGAGTAGAAGGTTAGACGACAATTCCCGCGATTTCGGTTGAGATTAGGCAGACTGCATTATTCAGAGCTCGAGTTGGCGGGATACTCGTGTATATTTATAAGCATGCTCCACAACAGGGCGGATTCCACGTTGCGATTTGCACGTTCGGAATATCTGTTTCGTTGAAATGTATCTCTAAAATGTTGAATTGGTTGTAGAGCTTGCAATGTCTTGGATTACCGTATACACGATGACAAGTTATTATTCTAGCGCAATCAGAAATTGATCTTTATATCGTTCATTTACTTCAACAATGACACAACTCACACAAAAACGAAGTTTTTTAAAAAATAAATTTGAATATTTGGAATCATTACAATTTTGTAGTATTAATTTTAAAATGCAATTTTTGATATAATAACTGATTTTAGAAGAATAAAAGTGTGTAACTCGTAAGTATGTTTTTTTATATTTCTATTCTTTTTTTTCTAAACAATTTAATAACATTTTTTTTATTATATCGTTGTTATAACAAATGATGTTTGAGTAATACTTTATTATTTTAAAGTCAAAACGTTGCTCAAAGGGTCGAAATAAAAATTTCAGAAAACAAAATACTTTATGGAAGAAGTAACTTTTATACATCTTTCTGCTTATTCTAACAGAAAATACTTAACAAATTTTTTTATTATTCAGAAATTATAGTAATACATTTTTAAAAACTCTATAGTGTCACATCAAATCCTATAGAATTTTAAATTCTCAAAATGCATCGGCTTCAAGTTTATAACTTCGAAGTCGCAGGAAATACTTTAACACAGAATAACGCGTTAGGTGAGAATCGTGAATGAAAACCGAGCCGCCGTATGTCACGATAATCCCTAAATCCACAGGGCCTTTTCATGGGGCATTAGAATCATTCGGAAATTCATACCGTCACGAAATAGCATTTATTGAACCCTTTAACGAGCTCACAAGCCGGGCTTTTACGTCGTTGTAAATTAAGTTCGTTACAGCTGTATCGTCTCTCGAGTTTTTTACTGATTCGAGGAGCGTTCGCTTTGGGGGTCGGGCCCGCTTACGGACAATGAGAGAATAAATTCGTGACGCGCAGCATCTTCTCTCGATCCTTGCCGACGAGCTCTTAATGATCCCCCAGCGGAACATGCTTGTACGTAGATATTATAGCGTGCGTTCTTCGGCATTTTACAGTACGAACGAATTTCCGAAGCGAAGCGAAACGAGCAACGCCCATTATCTGCACGATATGGCTGTCGGCGGACGTTATTGTACCATGAGAAAACCGCGAGGAGCAATTCTTGAGTATAAGTACAGAGAAACGAGAAATTCGCTCGAGTATGAAGTTAAAAAGAATAGTTTATGGACACATCGCTGCGTTGATGGAAAAGTGTCACATCTCAAAATTAGCAATTTTTCAATAGAACATTTTTAAACCTGTGAATTGATAGGTACAATTTTAATTAGGATAGTGAATACAGTTCCTTTGACTTTACTTTCTTTCTATATTATGCTTTCAATTACAATATATTGCTTTTCTATCAACGCAGCGATATAATAATATTGCATTGAAATTTATGTTTATTTAATATTTCTCATTTAAGATTTTTTTTACGAAAGTTAATTGGCAGAAACTAATAATTTTCTTTTCATTAGAAGTTTTAATTGTACACAACAGAACGATTTTGCTGAAGTGTCTAAAAAAGCTGGATATAGATCTGAAAACAATATTGTTGAACTATCAAAATAATTATGTAAAATACTTAAACATTGATGACAAAGTTTTAATATTCTGACAATTAAAAGCATCCTACATAATTATTTTGATGGTCCAAATAAAATTATTTTCAGAGCTTTCTCTCTCTCTCTCTCTCTCTTTCTCTCTGCATATGCATGTGTGTGTGTGTATGTGTCTAACTAAATATTTAAACTGTAGATGCTTTTGAATGAACTCAAGTGAAATGTCAGATCCATGAGAGCCACTCGGACCGTTTTTACAATCGCGACAGACGATTATTAGCGGAACCGCTCGTCGGACACATGGAACCGTGAGAGAAGTAACGGTACCGAACCTCTCGTATCCCCAAACCGCGACTCTGAAGAACACCGTTACTCGAAGAACTTCTCTCCGCGAGAATTTTTTTCGTTTCGCACGTCGCACGCAAATCTAATGGAGAACTTAATTACGTTTACTGTGTAGCGTGAAGAAGAAGCGGTCAATGTTCTTCCGGTTTTCACCGAGATGCTCTGACGGATGATGATTGCAAACAGCGATTCGCATTAATCCGTAGAAAATTTCCCCTTTCCGTCGCCGGAACTGTATAGAAACGGATCAGAACCTATAATTGCTTCAATTACACATCACGCTGTTTAGCACATACGATCAGTTAACATTTAGAAACTGCGTTAAAACGTATTTCTTCAATGTAGTATCTAATGAATACTAGCGTAGCAAAATATAATTATTCATGCAAACGATGTATTTATATTTTTATTTCGTTCTTTTTTTGCAAGCCACTAAAAATTTTTTTTAATTTTGTCGTAACAAATAGCAATATAACGTATATTCTGTGAACTTTAGTTGTTTTTACGCGAGTCATTAAAATTAAATTTATGTCTTCTATTCGTCAATATTTATACCTATTAAGTTATCATCTATTTCTGTACTTAATTTACTTGAGGAAATTAAAAATGTTTTCCAGAAATACCATTTTTGTTTGCAGACTCGTCAGTCACGGATCATCGTCATGGGCGTACATCCTTACACACGGAACCGTTGTCGTCAAAGGCTAAACGCGAGCAGACGCTACGCAACATTCTCACTGCAAGAAGACGACAGATTCTGAATCAACGTTTGCATGAGCCTCACCGGATTCTTTCCAGTCGTAGGCCACGACCTGGCGACATCATTTCAAAGGATCCTCAGGACGTCCTCGAAACCCAGGAGACTAGAAACGGCATTTATCATGTCACAAGCGCTCGAACGGAGGTATCAATGAAAGAGGAAATTTCGCAATTGTCAAGGAAATCGATTGAAAAAATCGTTTCCGTGATCAATCTCAACGCGACGGGAGGAGAGTCGGAATCGCGAACCACGAAGATACCTAAAACCGAAGCTCTGTCGCCGACGACCGGGAAGAACGAAAATATCTTTTCGACACCTTCTTCGATCGCCTCAACGCCAGCTATCAATCAAAAATTGGGAGACGCAGAAATGCGCAAGAAAAACACTGTATCGATGCCAGAGTCATTGTACAATCACTTCCGGCCAGTGGAGAGCAATATTCCAGTGGAAGATATGTCGCAGTTTCTTTATTTCGGCCAGAAGCTCCAGCCAGATGCGCTGAACGTTACCAACAGCAGTAATAACTCCGTAGAGACGACATCGACGTATCCGACTTCCTCGCGCAAAAGATATTCCACAAAAAGATTCACCGCGACGATCGCCACGCCGATGGAGGAGATGATGAACGAGGAGATGAATATTGCGTTGGAAACGTTAGAACGTCGGACGGTTGAGAAGAATCAAGTATCGAGGATTAAGAACACGTTCAGAAGCTCAGGCAACGGGTTATATTACCGGAAGCCGAGGCCCACGGCGGATGTTGTGTCCAATGTTATTCCCGGGAACGAGTCGAGCCCTAGTATCGTCGGTGGCTCAGAAACAAAGAGCGAGATGAATACGGTGGATGACAAATTTCGCCGCAGCGACCCGTCCGCTCACGCAGACGGAAGCGATCGAGTCCCGCTAGAGAGAAAAAACGCGGCCCACGTTACCGAGGTGAGCACGACGACCCAGATACCTCAGCAATCCGATGTTGAGGCAAGGGTCATCGTGGAGAGTGAAATCGATGCGAAACTCTCGAACGAAACGAACTCGGTCTCGAACGGGACCGCCGAAAGCTTTCAGAGGACCAACGATTTTGGGAAGGACAGCGAAAAGAAGAAAGTCACCGAGGCGAAGACGGAAGCATTGAATGCGGAGAAATCGGAGCACAAGTTAACGGGTGTTGAGAGGGCAATATCCACATCGCAGAGAGAGAGTGAGAGGTCTCGAGAGAGCGACAGCACCGAGACGACGTCGTTGATATCATCGCGGGCGGAATCGTCGACTCTGCGGATCGTCGTGCCGGACGACAGCTTCGGGCTGTCGAGTTTCGCGATCGAGAGCGAGCGGAGCCATCGGAATACCGTTAAGCAGCAACCGGTCGTGGATCCCATCGCGGATCGACCGGTTCGCGTGTCGGCCGGCGGCGACGTCGTCTCGAAATCATCGCCATCATTGACACCGCCCTCGAAGACGGAGTCGTCCACACCTGTCGTCGTCGTCGTCGTCGACTCGGATCAACAGCCGCAGGAGCAGCAGCATCCGCAGCAACACGTGTACGCTTATACGATAACGAACGTGACGCGATTGTTGCGCAACTACACCGGACCCGGATTAAGCGGCGAGGAAAGACGAGGGGGAGGTAGTGCTGTTGGTCGTGCTGGTAGCGGTGCTGAGATAACGAGAGGTGGATCGTCGCACCAGCGACCGCAGCAGCAGCAACCACCGCCGCCGCCGTCTTCTCCTCTTCTGCTTCCTCGTGCCGGTGATGGCGGTATAGAACCGGCACGAACGCCGACGGGACTCAGTGCTGGCGCGACCGTCGAGCCAGCCGCAGCTGCTGGTGCGTTGCCCGGTGTAGTTGACGATTTGGTGGGGGAACGATCGAGGAAAGCTGTTCCGCAACAGCAACGAGGCACAGCCGGCCAACGAGTGGCAGTTACCTGGTCCTCGTTGCATTCAGTTGCGAATAACGACAGCGTTGTCTCGACGTCCAGATCCATCAAGTCACCGGAGATCGCAAACAGAGGATTGGTTAGGTGGAACCACACTAAGTTGCGAACCAGCGAGCAGGAGGGTGCTAATGATCGGAGATTATTAAGAAAGAGCGCCAGCGCAGTGCTAAATCAAAGATCAACTATAAGCGAAGAATCTTCGACTCTAGTGACAAGCAAGCGTCGCAGAGTGTTGGCCTCTTCGAGTGGGGTGTCTTCTTCGAACGGTACCAGGAGACCGAAGTCCGGTGAGGAGAAGATCGATAGTGCTAAGGATAAGTTAGTGGTGAACGATCAATCGTCGAACGGGACACGAGTTGCGAATCGCGGAAAAATTTCGGACGATGAAGTACCGGGTGTTGATCCTCTTCGGGAAGTTACGTTTGCCAGCGGGGTAAATGAAGTGCCGGGTGACAGTAGTTCTCAAGAAACCACCGTCATGGGGATCTTAAATCGAAATTCGAGTGCAACCGACGAGACGCTGGATGCGACCGATCCGTCTGTTCTCGTCGACGCGATCACGACGACGGAGCTGGAAAAGTCTCATGTTCTTGAGGAAGATATCGTTACTGCCAAATCAAGTTTAAATGAAAGCTATATCAGAAGCAACGATCAGGAAGACGATCAGGGTATCGCGATGCTGAACAAGACCGAGAGTAATGTGAACGCAACGATAGACGGCATCGGTGAGACGACCGTGATAGTGATTGAGCAAGTGGATGAAGCTGTCGCGAGTACGACGACGATGACAACAACGACGACGACGACAACGACGACAATGTCGACAATGCTCGCAGCTCCGATTTTTCCGGTCACGCCTAGAATACTGTCAGAATTAGAGAGAACCACTACCGATCCGGAAACTAACACCTTGAGACCGACGGACGTCGCGAAGGAAAACAATCTGGACCCTTCAGAGATCCAAAAGAGGTACCGAGCAAAAGATGCGACGACGACATCAACAACGACAACGACAACGGTTTCGCCAATTCAGAATGACGTCCATGTAAACGAGACTTCGAGCAGAAGGTCGAAGGTCCTGCCTACCTCGTCGCCGCCCACGGTAACGGAGAATGGGAAACGCGTGTCTGGCGAGAGATCGCCGGAAGTCAGGGCGCGTAATTTATCAGACAAGTCAAAAGACAAGGACGACGTGCTACCGATCATGCATCTGTATAACACGTCGGATATCTTCAACAGCAGCGGGCCGATGGACGGGTTCGCTCGCGGTACAGAACGGGTGGTGCTTCCGATGGATTCCGAACCACAGAACGATCCCGCATTGACGACGATGATCATGGGAACGATGACGACAATAACGACGTCGACGACAACAACGGAAAAGAACCCCGATTTAGCGACGATTATCGATAACGCGACGGAAATTAGTGGAAGTACATCGACCACCGTTCCCGTTCCCAAGTCTAAGGAACCCACCGTAATTCCAACAAACTCTCGAAAGGACAAACACGAGGAGAATCGCGAATCCCAGGATTCTGCTGTTCCTTCAGGATCCAAAGGTTCCTCTTTCGTAACTACAACCAACAGGACGAGGTACAGGCCTGCCTATCATCATTCGATCCTGCCGGAATACAACAGCACGATGTATCATCCCGACGGGCTCAACAGGACGTTCTTCGAGACCGGCGAACCGATCTCGGTGAGCCCGCGGGAATCGATGAACATCAGTGAGGTGATATTGAAGCGGCACGACGGCGACGTGATCGCCACTCAGGAGACGGTTGCTGTGGTCGGCTACATCCTGGCCACTCTCGTCGTCTTTCCCATCGCCGTCGGCGTCGGGCTCATTCTCAGAAGACTGATACTTAGGAATCGTAAGGTGAGTGAGTTCGAGGTTTCGAGGTCGCTTAGCGTATCAGCATTGCGATCGATTTAGCTTAGATCGGGATTAGAAAGTATGCGCGAATCGCCACGCTCTAGATCGATTCGTGATATTTCGTCTTTCTCTTTCTCGAGTCTCGCGTTACGATCGGCGAACTGGTAAACACGATTTGAATCCGATTTATAAATATCGAAAACACGTGATTGTGAGAGGGATATTAAAGAAAGGTTTGCGGATACACACTGGATTTATATTAAATATGATATTTTAATAGAAAAGTACTGAGAATAGCAACGTGTAATTTTTGTAATTGCCAAATGTATGAAATCTTTTCAACAATTTTATAGACTAATTTATTGATTGCAAATGAAGGAATTTTTATAAGCAATTTAACGTAAAAACTATGTTTTTGAAATTAGATATCTTATATTTATTTAAACTCAAGTAATCTTCATGTAATTTCAATTCTTCAGTTCAATTCTTTTGTAGTTATATTGTATTTAATAAATTTAAGCATTATTGAAATTAAAAGATGAATAATTGTTTCCAAAATTTGCAAAGAAAAAAGTTGGAATAACAAAAAATCAGATTAATCGAAAGTCTATTATCGAATTAAATGTTTAATTGCCAAATATGCGTGAAATCTTTTCAATGTTATTAATTATTTTATTGATTGCACTGAAGAGATTTTTTACAAGCAAAATATGTTTCTGAAATTTTAAATATCTTAATATTTATTTAGACTCAAATAATTTTCGTGCAATATATTTAATATTTAATATAATATAAATTTAAGTATATTATTAAACATTAAAAATGCCACATGGATAATTGTTTTCAAAATTTTCAAAGAAAAAAGTTGGAAAAATTGAAAGCAAAAATTCAGACCGATCGAAATTTAAATTTTTCGATGAACAAGATTGCGTAGTATTGTCTAAATAAGTAATATAATATTCTGATATGATTTATTGAACATTATGATTTAATTGGAGATCAGATCTACTCTCGAGTGTGGTTGCGATCGAGATTATCGTACCAACGGAAGAGACGGTGGGAGAGCGATGAAAAAGCGCCACGTATAACTCTATTTTTAATTGATGCACGACGGGATGCTGAGACAAATTGCCGTTCATACAGCAGTGCCACTTACGTACCGTTACGCGGCATGACCAGGATTATCATTGCGAGTTAACGTTTATCGTATGGCTATTTGGCTTAGCGACGTTCGTTATATCGCAGCGGAATCGCACTAACATTTTGATAATTAACGCATATCGACGACATCTGAATCGCTGCTATTATGGACTATTAGCTGATCTAAAATGCGGTTCGCTAGACCTCATAATTATTAGAAAGTATCGTCCTGAATAGCTATTTTAATTAAAACGAGTTTTAAAGAACCCTCCAAAGCTGACGCCAAAATCTGTAACACAGTTACTGACACTGAGTCTGTAAAACACACATTTAATTGATGTTAATTAAAAGGCACCAATTATAGTTTTAAAGAATTAAAATAACATAACTCATATAAAAAGAATGAATATTAATGTACATTTACGAAAAAAAAACGATTTAACTATAAGATTTAACATTTTGTTGAAGCTAAAAATAATTTTGTTGGATTATCAAAATAATTAGTTGGAATAATTAGTTGGAAGCTAAAAAATGATGAGCAAAAAATTTTTTCATATTTTATCAATCGGTTTGAATTTCGGACACAATTATTTTGCTACGTTATCACGGTCGTGACTTTGTCGTGAATGAATATCAAACGCGGTCATCGAATAATTCCTTCGCGAAGGCTAGCTTTGCGGTGATTCATGAAATGGTTAACAATCTCTTCCCCCTTCCCCTCCGCAACAATTACTAGAAGTTCATTGTATGCAGAATAATCTCGGGATGATTCGAGCACAGTATCATCAGACGAAGCGTGGCGCGTTAGTAAATGAGAAGATGAACGCGAACGTTGGATAATGCGAAAATTGTTCGACTCATTATCTATGATGATTCTTTTTCCGTGGAATTTTCCTCGGATAGCTGACAAGAAGGTTGCGTCGAAGGTCGAATATCTTCTCGTGCGAGCCTCATCAACACAATCGTGTCTGAAAATAAGGATATTTGTGTCGAGCATTACATTTGTGTAATTATTAATAATTACATCAATAATGCACATCTACAATTAGATAATCTCGTGAATTTATACTTTAATATTTACTCTTTATAATGTTTCTTGGTGAACCACATTTCTAGTCTATATTGCAGTTTTTAATTGCGGAAATTCTATTTCTTGTCCTGATGAGAACCACATTTTCTATTATAGTTCTTAATTGCGGAAATTCCATTTCTTGTGAATAAGTGACAATCTTTTTGGCGTCAGAAATGATAGCGGAATTAATGGCGCAGACCACAAAATTTCCGGAAATGACATAAGCGAAGTGCTTTCACGCCCGCGAGACGTTCATAAATAATAATGCGGGCATAAATTTAAATTTAACCTGACAGTCATGGAAATAAATCTGAATGGCGGTACAAAGGTTTGCATGGACGGTAAAAAAAGGAGCACGCAAATGAAGGGAGAAGGGAGAAAGGATGAGTACAGGGGCCATATAAATAAGCGGGATCGTTTTCGGGCTCGTCCGAGTTAGTTGAGACGAGCTCGATGCTAAATTCGGGTGTTCTGTGTTCTTCGAGATTGAAATTTCACCGTCGACAGGCAAACCGATTCGTTTTCCTGATGATTCTCGCATGACATAAGCGACTCTATAGATAGATGCTCTTCTTTAAAAATAATCTGTACATGATAATACGTCGCATAATTATAATCAAATATGATTGGTATTTGGTGTAGAGAAAAACTGTTTATAATCCGCAGAATACAAAGTAACAGTAACATTATATCAACATTATAATTTTCCACTCAACAATATAAATGTAATTTAACACATATTACACATGGCAGTTGTTGAGTAGAAAATTATAACATTGATGTTACTGTTAGTTTGTGCTCTGCGGGAAGCAAATTATTCTCTTTATTGCTATTCTTAGATATTAAAAATACCAATGCAATTGTAGTTAATTTCATTTCTTTGAAAGCTACGACAGGCACAATTGGTCATCATTTTTGCATTATTTGCATGCATCTTATCGCCGTTGTAAAAAAACGACGTTGTATATTTACGTGGAATCGCAGTATGTTTGTCTAACTTTATTCCGGCAATATTACTCGCGGAAATACTCACAGAACACCTCAATCTATCCCGCTGCTCTTCATTGCCACGCGGCATTGCGTCTCCCAATTAAACGGGAGTGACGACCGATTCAAGTGGCTCGCCGATGCGCGTGCGAGCGGCATGTTGCATACATGTTGTGCTGACGTTGATTTGCTTATGCAGGTGCTCGAGGAGTCGGACACGTCATCGGAGATAAGCTGCAGGAAGGACGCTCTTAATCTCGAAAACGGCGACTTCAAGACGTCCATCGAGAAGGCGATCACGAAATTACCGAGGATACAACACTTGGTGAGAAATTAACGAACACTCTTAGATATTTAATGCGACAGCAGTCACGTAGTAATTGTTTGCACAGCCTTTTCGACGCGTTCGTGACATGGTGTAAATTTTTTCAATTAAATTGTATTGTACTTTATTTAATTTAGTGACCACACAAAAAGATTGGACTAAATAATTTACACGTATAGTGATATAAAAATTAATTTTATTTATAAAATATATAAATTATTTATAAAATTAATATTCAGATTTTATTAATTTTATTTATTCAGAGAAAAAATGGAGACAGCTGTAAATTACATTAATAAAAATAATTTCATTTATAAAAATAAAATTTATTCGATAAATAATTATATTTTATAAACAAAATCAATTTTGTTAATATATAATAATTTAATTAATAGTTGTCTCTTCGTTTTTTATTTGAACAAATAATTTGCATAGAGGAAAGTTGCCGAATGCGTACCACTTAACCTATTTTTTATTACATTTTCCATTTGGCACTGTTTTATATGCAAATGAACATTAGAAATTATAGCTTGA